CTCTGCAAACTTCACCAACTCACTAACTCAAGGAAAAGCAGGAGAAGTTTTACAAAAACAATCTTGAAAAGATCAGATTGTGGAAGTCTGCCCCAAGATTAACCCATTTATATATTGAGACGTTGCAAAGAGGAGATAAGGCGCTATATCAATCGCCAGGATTATTATTATTATTAATTAAGCACCAACATTTTAATTGTGTTCTCAATCTCTCAATTATGTTATCTTGGGCATATTAATTTTTTTTAAAAATCTTTATTTTAGTAACAAGGTCAAGAATAGGAACCAAGCAGAGATCAGGGACATGTACCCAATTGGGAAAAAAGCAGTTATGAGAAGCCATATCTCTTAAGGCTATTCTCATGAACCACTTCACACCAGATATATAATCTTACTTTCAAAAAGGCCAGAAGTTCAGAAATCCAAACTGAGATGAACAAAATATTGAGAGACTTAAACGTATGGATTATTTGCTCGCTATATGCCAGCTGAACAATTATCAATGCCCGTGTATTTTTAAGACAAGACAATTTACAGGGGATTGTGCCTGCGGCAGTGATGATATTGGGTGAGGGCCTATTGGATGCGAGGAAATGTGTCAAAGATACTACAAACTAGTTTGCCTCATGTTTTTATTTGCAGCTAAAACATGTAAAAGCTGTGAGTTCCTATCAAGGCTGTTCCAGATGGTCAATTAATCTTTGTATTATTCAATCCAATGGTTCGTACAATTACATGAAACATGATCATACATTGAATTTCTCCAAAGATCAAGCGATACAAATTAAATGGGTGAGAGGTTGTGAACAAGACAATCAATGGATATAATGGGAATCGTTTTTCTTCACTGAATGTATTAATGCCAATATGCAATCTGCTGTTCTACAACACTGCAGCTAATATTACAAGGTTTGCTGCAGAGCTATTAAGGAGATGAAGCACAGAAAGGTGGAACTTGGCGATGTTTGTGGAATGAACCAAAATTTGGTTGGATATGTTGAGAATCGGTCAGAATAATGGCCAATTACAACAATGACGTTACGTACATTGGGTAGAGTTTTGTCATTGGGAAGCCACAGTAAGATGCAAATGTTCTTTTGGATGATAGTAATCCTTAATCGTTAAGTCTTCATTTCTCCCCTGCCTTTTTAGTGCTGAACGAACCAACATAATAATAATAATATTTGCATTTGATATAGCGCCTCATCATGTCACTAAGATGCCTGAAAGCGCTTCATATTCTTAAACCTCTTCCAATATTACTTGAAACCAACTATTAGAAGGTACTTTGGTCAGGACACGTCCCCCTGGATACACTGGTCTCTGCTCTGCATGTTCCCACACCAAGGCCAAAATCTCACACGTGGTCATGTACTGCACCTTCAATGCTATCCCTCATGTAACTCCATTCTTTGCCTATGAACTACAAGTAGACACTGAACGCAAACTCAAAAGTACTTCTTTGAAGTGGGATTTACTTGAAAGCACTTGGACTTCTGCTTGTGCAGTGTAACATAGATGGAATCTAATAAAAGCAATTACATCACACTTCGCTCCAGCAGCAAATAATTTCATATTTCAGCCACCCCTTCCCAGACCTATGCAGCGCACTTCCATAGGTTTAATAATTGGAGGCTCAGCGGTTTAACTTTCCTTGGGGATAAAACTTCACATGACAATGGATGCCTTATTGCTGTGAAATAAATTGTAGTCTTGACACTAATGCCACGGCATTTAAAAACATGGTGGGCTGTTGCATTTCTCTCAGAGAAAGAGATAACTCTACCAGATGCAGCACAACATTAATTACAGAGAGAGAATCACTCAATGTCAAGAAATGTCAGAAATATTTCTGTTCAACAGGGCACATTAACCCCCGCCCTGCTAGCTTAGTCTCAATACCTTAAAGCTGTATTAAAATATACCCCACCCACTGAATTGGATCGGAAAAAAACAGTTTCCACAGTTCACAGGAGCTATTTAATGCATTCAACTCTATAGATCCAAAGGATGGTTTCCAAAGAAATGGTAGGTCCGCTATGTCCCTTGTGCCCTCCATTCCACCGTCGTTGGTCGTGCTTTCAGCCACTACGCCCCAAAACTCTAGAACAATCTTCCTCCATCCTTCTGCCTTGCCCCTTTCTGCCCCATCTTCAGATCGCACCTGAAGATCGTCCTCTTTGACCGTGCCTAGAGTCACCCCCCACTGTGGCTCAGGGTCATACTCCGCCGCTGTCAAGCGCTCTGGAACTCTATCCTGCGCGAGGAGCTCCATATAAATACAAGTTGGTGGCACTATACAAAAAGGGGAAGTTAGATTCACCTGTATCCAAATCAAAAATCTCTTCTCTGTAGAGAGAGAGAGAGAGAGAGAGACGAGAAAGAGAGCCAACAAATGAAGTGTGTTTGCAGTAGGTTGGAAGCTGAAATCTGAGGTGTCTGAGTATGGAAGTAGTGATCTGGCTGGCTGCACGTGTAGAGTAGTGCACAAACAACAAGGACTGCAGGAAGCGGAAAAGGGATGAATTACAATCTGTACTACTGACAATTCGAAACATCAAAGAATGGTACAAAATTGTTTTAGGAGAATATTACTGAGAGATGAAAAGTGAGAAGAAAAAGGAGAAGAAGGGAGGTGGGGAATCGAGAGAGAGAAGCACATTTTGGTTTCTATAAATTCTCAAGTGCCGCCGGTTCAGTACGCACACACAGACCCAGCATCGTCTCCCCGTCGGAGGTATCAAAACATTCACGGTCGAAAGAAAACACTTTGCTTCAGAGACCAGAATATGACAAGCCTGACAGCCGAAGGAAGGAACCCAGAGGAGACTCCAGACTAGCCATCAAAATACAGGGAAAGAAACGAATGCACACCAATGGCAACTGACAGGCAATAGACAAGACGAGCAGCACATCAAAAGGGCCTCAGAAAGCGATTCTCCTCACTGAATTCCTAGTTAATTTTATTTTGAAGATTGAATCTGTGGCAATCTGATAGTTTCAACACTACTGAGCTCTCAACAAAGCGAGAGATGCATTGAAGTTCCAGCTTCAAAGGACATTTGCATTAGAGATTCCTCTACAGAGCGAGTGTGTCAGTCTTATAGCAGAAGGTCCCAATGTTGTTCCTGCACCCTCCCAATGTTCAAAGGAGTAGCCAGTGTCAATTAGATATCCTTCCCCAAGTACAATTAGCCCTTCTGGATTATCATGTTGCCACTGGCATGATGTGGAATCCTGGAACTTAGTGGTTAAGGCGCTCGCCTGGCGAGCGAGAGAACCCAGGTTTGATTGTCAGGTGGGGCGAAACTTTAGGCTAGTTTCCTTACTCCACACATCCTGTTAACCTATCAGTAAATAGGAAACCAGTTATTAGTTGATTGACGAATCTCTTTTCTGGGAGTATTAAACCCTTCAAGTTTTTTTAAAAAAAATACAAAAATAATTTGGTCACTCAATCCACAACAAAGTGTAACTCACCTTGAAGACACGACATGACCTCAAACGTCCAGTTAATAAAATGTTATGCAGTGGGTACATTTTTTTTGGTCAGCCGGGTGTCTTGACACATGCCCATCACCATGCTTAAGATTATTCAAACTGAGAATTCCATGCATTCCACGTACACGTGGAAATTCCCGAGATAGATTATTGGATTGGTACGCGCTCTCTCTCTCCCTGGAGGGACTCATCCTGCTTACGTAATTCCAGAAAGTATTAGGCACAGGTTGGTAGGAGCCAAGGCTTGGGACCGCAGACTACTGGAATCTAACAGCAGGAGCCCATTCAACCCATCAAGTCTGTTTCACCAGTTTAGCGGATCATGGCAGATCTTTTAATCTTATTTCTCCACCTTTTCTCCATCTCCTTTAATGTTTTTACTTCAAATATCTTTCTCCTTGCAAAACAACCCACTCAATTCTGCATGGATAGGCTTCTGAAGAAATGCATACGACATGTTCACAACCTGAATAAAATGCTTGATTTTCATAGTATTAGTCACCATGCTGAGCCATTATACTGCTTCAAATTCTTATTTTACAGATCAGCGCGAGAGACACACAGATGATGGCTGCATATAATCTCATTTTTTGTTGTCTTCAATCATGCTGGAAGAGGCCACTTCTGAACAGTTTACATTGTGCCCGATGAATGGAACAGGGGATTAGGAGTAGGCCATTTGTACTACCATTTTATTGTTCAATATGGCATCTCTTCACCTATCAAATCACACTGTCCCCACCTTATCTCCATGTCTTCTACTCTTTAAATTCAGGAGTAAAACAAGAAGGAAGAGGAAAGAAACAAACAAGGGGAGCTGTGAAATACAGGAGGCCGAACAATAAGCACAAACGACAGCCAAACTGTTCTTTTGCAACACATAGGAATACAATGGCACAAGAGGTACTGAGTCACCCAACAGGAGTTTACTAGGATTCAGAGAGGCTCATGACTCGAAACACTTTAAAACCAAACAGCGTTGAAAGCAAATAGATTGTGCAGAATCTTCAACCTACAAAGAACCTACAGAACATTATCCTTAAGGATATGTTACATAGGACAAGCAACTTCTGCTAGCGAACAATTTAACTTTAAAAATGCAATTCAAACTTCAACGTTTTTGCTGGTTTCAGGGTAGATATGATGGCATAGTGACAATATTTAACAGCCGTCTTTCTTATGATTCACAAAAACTCAAGATCATTCATCGCTGTGGCCTTTTCCTTGCACACCCATTATTCCCTCCACAAAACTACAACAATATGATCCAGGATTAATGGGACTGAGTTTCAGAAGGTGAGTTGTTCATCTAAAAATAAGAAATTTGAGCATACAGAATTAAAGCAATTTAAAACTTACCGTGCATTACAGTAGCTGAAACACCACAGCAACAAACAGCACCAAAGCAATGTACTTCGACCACAATGAATTCATGCTTGGCCCTGAAGATAAATGCAAGGAGGGAAGAGTGTTGCTGAGAACAGAACAGTTAAGCTTACCTGGCTGGGTCTGGGTAAATTGGGTGCTCTCTGGATCCTGAACCATCATTTCGAGACAGAGAAATAAGCGAGGACTCCAACAGTCGCCTATAACACAATATAAAGACGACAATTTTAGTTAAGTGTTAGCTCTTGTCTTGATAAATTAAGAGGAGCTGTGACTCCCCTTCTCCCCATGTATTACAATCGGCCATCAATCTTCCATTAGAATGATCATTAAGCTATTATTAAAATGCTATGTGGATAGAATGGAGGCTTTTCGTAAATCCTTCCTGAGATAACATTCCCTCAAGAAAAAAACAATAATAAATTGATCACTTCAATCTATGATCGTTTGTGGGTCACTGCCATACGCAATTGGCTGCCACGTTTCGTCCACCAATATACTGTCAATTCACTTTACAGTATATTCTGTGAAGTGCTTTGAGACATCTGGAAGATGTGAAAAGCGCTGTATCAAATGCAATGGTTCTGGTATGATGTAGCCTTGCTGTATGTACACTGAGAAGAACTCGAATTGGATTTTTTTTAAAAAATGCTGTTCTTTTAGATCAATTTAGGTTTGATTTTGAAAGCTGCCAGACTGCATTTGTACTGAATACATCTCAAAAATCTACAATATGTGATTTACACCTCTCATAGAAGATACAATATTAAGACCAAAATTTGGGAAAATAAAAGAGACTCATTGCGTTCACCAAAATACACTCAAGGTTCCATTCTAGGAAACTTTTGCACTTATGGAAGTATTATATAGGTGTCAGCTTGCCTGAGGTGGCACACAGGCTTGAGCTCCCACACCAGGCTAATATTCCAGTACTGCATTGTCAGAGATGCCATCCTTCAAATGAGACATTAAACCTTGATTTTGATGGAAAGAAGGAGTTTTTCCCCAGTGGCCTGACCAACAACTCTTCAGGTAATGGCTTGATGTCAGACCTTGCTGTGTGCAAACTCACTGCTACATTTGCTTACAATCACTGTACCTGATAGCAATTCTCTATAAGCACCTTGAGACTTTAACATTATAGCCACTATGGTAACTGCAAGGATTATTACTAAGAATGAATGGTATGAATGAAAGCAGTTTCATTAAGACTCCTCTGTACAGTTGGGCATGGACAATTCAACAACAAATTGTATTTATAAATACGCAGGGTAGCATCCCAGATCTCTTAATTCAACAGCGATTAACAAAGTTGAGAAACTTCTCAGCAATATTACTGAGGAATCTGATTTTCTTCGGAAATTTGTTTGAAGCTATTCAGTGGTTTCCTGGACTGAGTTTTAAAGGATGAAATCTCTGGAACAAAATTAGGCACATCACTCAGCCTGTGATCTATATTTAAGAACTTTCATACATATACTGCTATTCATTGTGAATATGCTGCAAGTTCTCCACTTATTGAAGTTCAATGATGAATTCCTAGCACACAATCTTCAACACGATCACACCTTTCCATCCTCGCAAGCACATTCCCTTGAAGTTGATATATGAAAAATGTGGCATTCAAATTTTCCCCACTAAGTAGCTGAATAAGTCCTTAAGTTTACTACACATTGCAGCATAATACATATCCAAAGGGATATGTATTAAGATTGTTTTCACAGGCTCTCAAATGTCAGTCCCCAACATCTCAAGCATTCTTCTGCTTTTGTTTAAAAAAAACTATTTGCACTTATCAAAAAAAACCTTTCAACATCACTGAAGCATTGGGCAAAGTGAGAGGAGGGGAGATCGAGGATGATGATTGCAGTCACAGTCAAAAAGGAGTGTGTTTAAAGGCAGGAGAAGTGAGAACAAAGCAAGAGGATATTGGGAGATACCTGGAGGTACATCAGGATTGAAAGCAGCCCAGCCACCAATCGAACAGATGGGTGTATTAGGCATTGAGATGATATGTGACACTCTATAATTGAGGGAGAGTTATAACTCGGATTCTAGGGAATGTCTAGGAGTTCTCAAGAGCTGGTGGTATGGTTTCCAAATACTGTACATACAGAAGTAACTGGATTAGATGGATGGAAGGAGCGCAATCTTCCTCGCGTTACAAGGAGACACGCAAGGTGGAGGAGAGAGGAACAAACTAATTAAATAGTAGAAACTTATGTCAGCGGCAGTCATGATTTTCTAAACATTGAATTACCCAAATGAATTAATGTACACTTAATTGTCAAAGCTAATCCTCTACAAAAGTGCTTATTCCTCTCTCTCTCTTTACCTTGTTTCCACCCGCCTCACCGCCCCCCCCACTTTGAGTAAACAGAATTTTTTTTTCCACATCTCGAGCGGATTATTGAAGTAGATTCTCCTCGTTTCTCATACCAGAGCAGCTTTTGCCACTCTTCACAGCACCAATCACTGTGCGTTTCAAATTTGTGCAAACTGGGAAAACGCGGAACAATCGGGGGAAGCTGCGATTATCCTTCCCAGCTTAGCAACGATTCCTTCATGTCGTGCAAGGCACTAAGTAGTTTGTGCTGGGGATGAAGCGGCTCGAGGGCAGGACCACAAAGGCGTTCAGCTTCCCGAGAAAAATAATTTAGTCACTCAATCCACGACTGTTTGTAGGACCCCACTGTGCGCAATTGGCTGCCATGTTTCGCCCACAAAAATAGTCAATTCACTTCACAGTATATTCTGCGAAGCGCTGTGAGACATCTCGAAGACATGATCAGGCCCTATATCAAATGCAAGGATTATTATCATCATCTGCAATCGCATTATTTGGTTCCATCCACTCAAATCATTACAAAATCTAGCCTTATAGCTGTTTCTAATCTACCTTTGCTCCGCATTCATCACCTTTAATTTCTCGTCTTCAATGCTGCCTGATTTAAGTATTCTTTCAGAACTCTGCAGCTCGTGTACTGTCCCGCACCAGGCTTCGGGACCACATCACTCCCACCCTCGCTCACCTCCACTGGCTCCCCATCCCCCAGAGGATCGATTTCAAGATCCTCATCCTCACCTACAAGGCCTTCACGGCCTCGCTCCCTCCTACCTCTCTGACCTACTATCCCCCTACCTACCTGCCCGTACCCTCCGTTCCTCTGGCTCCGGTCTGCTCCACATTCCCCGCCCCAACCGCCCTACCATCGGTGGCCGGGCCTTCAGCCTCTCAGCCCCGAGGCTCTGGAACTCCATCCCCCAGTGCCTTCGCCGCCTCCTCCCTTTCCTCCTTCAAGGCCGGTCTCAAGACCTTTCTCTTTGACCGAGCCTTCGGCTCCCCTCTCGACTCTCTACCCCCTCCTCGCTCCCTCCCTTCCCTCCCCTCACCCTGACCATTTCCCCCCTCCTCGCTCCCTCCCTTCCCTCCCCTCACTCTGACCATTTCCCCCCTCCTCGCTCCCTCCCTTCCCTCCCCTCACTCTGACCATTTCCCCCCTGCTCGGGTCCTGACCCAACTGTACAGCCTTGGGACGTCCTCCTGATGTGAAAGGGGCTCTATAAATGGAATATTGTTGTTGTTCTTCAGAAATAAATGTGAATTTAGAAACAGAAGCAGACCATTTGGCCCTTCAAGTCCACTCTGCCAAAGAATGTTTCCCAACACAACATATCCTCAACCTTTCACTATACTTTGTCATTTCCCTACCTTAGTATTGTGACTCTCCACTGCACCTTCCCCAAAGCCAGTCTAACCTTTCTGCAATGCAGACCCAAAACTGAATAGAATATATTTAGCTCATGGCTGGGTTTAAATCTACTGGATTGAGATGACCGGAAATATACAATAAAACACTTGAGGGATGAGCCATTCCCCCATAATGCAAACCTTTAGCAGTTTGTATCATTCAAAAGTGTTGAAGAGTACAGTTTTGTGGATTGAATAGAGTCGTTTTTTGATTCAGTGGCTTTAAGTTGATTACTTTCAGCACTCTGTGAAGCTATAATAAAAAAAATACTGTGCATAAAGGAAGATATATAAAGGCAAGTTGTTGATTTTCTGCAGGACTTTGCATTGAATGTTCCCGGTTGTCCACTTTTTAGTCCTTCAGGTGGATGGGAAGTTCATGTTCGACTCTGTTGCCATTTCCCTGCCACTATCGCCCACCTCATTCTGAAATACCACAATGTTTCCTTTGTTTTGTGCAACTAAATATTGCATTCTAACACCTTCTCAGGCAAAAGCATATCCGTGGAAGGAAGGAAATCGACTGAAGTAAAGTGAGAAAAACGCCAGGTGTAATAAAACACAGCCGTAAAAAAATACCAAGTCTCATTATCCAAGTGTGTTTATGAATAATAATCCTTGCAATTGATATAACACCTTATCATAGCATCTTCGAGACATTTCAAAGAGCTTCACAGATTATACTGTAAAGTTAATTGACTGTATTTTCTGTGGGCGAAACATGGCAGCCAATTGCACACAGTAGTGTCCCACAAACAGTCGCGGATTGAGTGACCAAATGATTATTTATTTTTAATTTTATTTTGAACCTATTATTACCCCCGGAAAAGCAATCCGCCAAACAACTGGGTTCCTACTCACTGCTAGGTAAACAGAAGTGTGTGGAGTAAGGAAACTTGCCCAACGTTTCACCTTGACCAGGATTCGAACCCACGTCCTCTCGCTTGCGAGGCGAGCACTCTAACCATTAAGCTGCAGCACTCGATATAATGCCACCAGACTGTGAAACCTGGGATAACATGGGTTTGCTTACAAAAAGATTGCTCTCTCATTAGATTTTGGTTACATCACACAACTGAAAGGGCCGAGAATTTTCCACTAAAATCACTTCCCCAGAACATCCCTCCCTAAAGACACGGCACATTTTTAAGCCACGTGAAAAGCTAATTCTGAACAGACGCTCATGCGATCATTCATTAAAGATTTTCAGTTAACTGTGACGTGCTAAATTAGAATTTTCTTTAACACAAATTTGGCGTGACAAATATAATGATTACTCTTCAGCAACACTCTTCAGGCAAATTTCGAGAGGGTTGCTTTGTCACAGAATATATTGTGCTTTGCAACTAGAATTCTGCAAACTAGCAAGGAATAAAGAGTTTATTACTCCAAGCAATGCTCCGTTGGTATATTGGCACTAAAGAAACATGAACATCTCAGCTACATTCC